GAGAAAAATAAATTCTCAACACAATAATGTCAAGACATTATATCTGACATTTCTTCAAGGTCTTCCAACTCCAAATTAGGGACTCCCCCTCAATAGCATCACAGCCTGTAGTTAGTGCACACACACACATTACTCCCCTTGTTCCAACTCAATCAAAACTTGTTCCATTTGAACAAGATCACACAAATCTAGCGTCTTTGAACAAAAGAGTTTCCAGATGATAAAGAGAATGTCCTGAACATTTGAGCTTAACCTCCATATACGAGGAACCTGACTAAGATGACACATCTCCACTAGACATTAGAGCTCAGCCTCTGCACTCCTGCTTACTTTGATCAGAAATAAACTGACCCAAGTAGTAAACAATATGTTGATCATCTCTTGACCGGCACAAATATCTAAGACAAGTTTCTTGGATAGAAACTTCTTAGACACACAATCCAGACGCCTCTTCAAATACAAGAGAAATTTTCAAACATATGTGATCAACACACATTTGTTTAGCACCAGAGCATATGATATGCAATTCCTTTGTCCAAACAGGATTTAGCATACTTTGTTGATATGATGTTCCAACATCTAGTCGAACATCAGTTCCCCTTTCAATGAACACAATGTTGATCTTGGTTCTGAAGTCATTACTTCTCCCAGAAAATCAGAACATTCTTTGATCACTTTCAAGGTCTTCGATAGACGTTCATCTTTCAGCCAAACCAGGAACAACAAACTTAGAGTCACTTTCCTAATTAGGCCAAAAACTAGGGAGACTCCTTTCTTCAACTGACTGTCACATATTTGTCAGGCTTCTTGAATATATCAACCACATACTAAAATGCCTTTATGAGTGGACTTGGGATGAATCTCAAGTATCTTTGGCAACTTTAATAAATTGGTTGAAGTTGTCTTCCACGTATCACATCATCAAAGGATGAACCTGCTGAGGAGAACAGATGCAACGGAACACAAATACTAACTCGTCAACAACCTTCAGGCGCAACCTAAAATCTCTTGCACACAAGCACCACAATACAAGAGACAGCATAACACATAGGTTTGAAAATGAATCAAACACAAAACAGCAGCTCACCACCAAAGCTACATGACTGACAGGTTCATTCATCACCCTGTCACAAAAAAACAATGATCCTTCTCAAGAGACCATTCAACCAATTGTATGAATTGTCCAAGTTCATACATCTTTTTAGTAGAAACCTCCTTCCTTGCCCATTGTACCAGAAAGTATTTTCCTCGGATCTCACCCAAAAACAGACAAGATGTCTGCTCTGATACCAATTGAAATTCTGGTATGCAAATCTCAAATGTCCTAAGAGATGTAGAGACATCTGATCATTGAATTAAACACAATGGCAAGGTAAAACATACATAATACTGAAAGGTAAAGGAACACAGAATTGTTAACCCAGTTCGGTGTACAACAACACCTACTCTGGGGACTACCAAGCCAGGAAGAAAGTCGACTATTAACAGTATTAGTTCAAAGTTAAACTAATCTCAAATTTACAATTTCTCGCTTAATCACTATCCAATGCTACTTCACCTAGGTCCTCCCTAGATATGAGAAATCGTCATCCCACTTCCAACCACCGCAGTGATAAAAGACATATCCCAATCACAAGATTGTCTATAAACAAGTCACAGTCACGGCAACTTGAAACCAAAATTAAACCGAAGTTTACACTTCAATTACAAATACTTAGTCTTGCTTAAAAGCTTCGACCAAGAACAATACTCAAAGTTGCTTATAAGCTTCCTCCAAGAACAATAATCAACTCTATGCTTAAAAACTCATGAGTGATTCATAGTTACAACTCAACTAACAATAGTCCTACTCTTCTATCAACGTGATATTAGAGATACTCACAAATAACACAAACCAACTCTTCTAGAGAGTGACTCATAGATGAAGCCCTAGTATATGATACTTTTACATACTTGACTCGTGTCTTTCTTTAGGTTTAGAATCTTCCATTTATAACATTTTTCTGGACTGGATTTAGACTTCAAAACACAGCAAAACAGCTGCTAAAAACGCTCCAAGATATTCTCCACAAATTTAGGATTTCAATCATTTAGTTTCCTAAAAAATCGCCATATTTAGAAATTGAGAATACTCCTTGAAAACAGGTAGAATCTTCTATCCTTAAATTGAGCGCCACATAAGATCGCATAATATTCCTAGAATATTTTACGTCTGTAACAAACTAACAGTTTCCGAAAGTCCAGCTATACACAGACGCGATGTTGAGTGATTCTGCATCTTTATTCGACATATTTCTCCAATTGATAGAACATCTTATTTCAACATGTCTATGCTAAGTTAGTTTTACCAAACATGATGGTAATCACAACAAAATAGAGAATTAACAAGAATTGTACAGTGGTTACAATTGTATTAGAAGAATAACTAGTTCTGTTAGTAAAACAGAATTATAAATAGTAATATGAGGGAATGGATAGTTAGTTTTTTGAACTCAATTGTAATTGGAGAGTGGCTTTCTCAAATTGGTCAGTTTATTGCATACTCTGAATTTTCAGCACTACACCGAGTTATCAAAACTCATTCATCGTCATCTAGTTCATCCAATTTTAAATATTGAAGAATGTGGTCCATGTTCTTATTTCTAAGTTAAAGTCTTTAGAGTGAGTATTGCCATCTTGGTAAACATGTTGTGAACTACTTTCTCAAGCAAATTTTCTCATCAAGCAAACTTCCCTTTATATCTTATTCATACAAATGTAAGGGGTTCAAGTTATGCCAGTTCTATCTTATGTTCTAAGTACTTTGTTATTATTCTTAATGATTTTTTAAGCTGTACTTGGATTTTTTTTAATGAAAGAACGTTCAGAATTATTTACTATTTTCCAAAAAATCTGCAATGAAATTTGAACAGTGTTTTGCACAGTGAGAATGCAATTTTTCTACATTATGGCATCTCATGGTATGGGTCATCAATCCACTTGCCCCCATACCTCCTTACATAATGATGTTGCAGAAAGAAATCAGTGTCATATTATTGAAAAAGCACGTACTTTGTTGATACATGCCATTGCACCTACAAACTTTTAAGGTGATGATATCCTTAGTGTTGGTTATTTGATAAATAGAATGTCTCTTTCATCTATAAACAACGAAGTACCTCATCTCTTTAATTTCCTTATGAACTTCTCTTCAGGTTCCTCGTGTTTTTTATTCTACTTGCTTTGTACATGATCTTACTCCAGGTCTTAATATGTCAACCAACACCTTGTGTTATCAAATGTGTCTTTCTTAGTAACTTTGGAATTCAAAAAGGATATCGTTGTTACTCAACATCATTTCTATTTCTAGTATCAGTTGAAGTCACCTTCTTTGAAGATACCCCATTCTTCACTTCCCCTGTAACACAAGAGCTTGTGTCTCAAGTATTACCAATTCCCCTTTTTCTTCCCTTAAGCACCGAGTTACTTGTGTCTCAAGTATTACCAATTCCCCTTTTTCTCCCCTTTAGCACCGAGTTACTTGTGTCAGGTACACCAGAGTCTTCTTTAGTTACTCTCGAATTCAAAAAGGATATCGTTGTTACTCACCTTCAACACATTGTTTCTATGTATCAATTCCCCTTTCCATTTCATTGAAGAGACCAGTGATTCATCTACCTTTCCAATCCGCCATCCTGTTTAGGCCCAAGTTGACCAGAATGCAGACATGCAAATAACTCTTCAAAAAGATAATTGTTCTACTAGAAACCTCATGCCATTTATAATTAAAATCATCGCATGTCCTCATCCCATTGTACATTAATGTTTGGCCTTTCTGTGTCCATCCCTAAAACTGTACAGGGAGCACTCTCATCCAAAATGGCAACAGAAAATGTGTCGGACAAATTTTGGAAGGGAAATTTTAGAGACTAAAAGAAAATACACAATATTTAACCATTTTGATAAGTATGCATGTTTGCAATATACACCTCAATCATGGATGGCAATATGCATGTTGGGCAGAGTACTATAATACTTATCCCTATACCTGTGATATGAAAAAATCCATGTACCCGAGTCAATACCTAAATGGACACCAACGTTTTTATCCGTACCATATGGGTGTACCCGAGTCAATACTTGCATGGACAACGTTTTTACCCGTAACCTATGGGTTCCTAAGTGCCCATACCTCACTCATTACCCGCAATTCTAATAAAAATAAATCGATCAATTATTAAACATCATATCATTTTATGCTTTTAACCACATTAAAAAAATCAAAGATTTTATTTTGAATTATGAGTTAAACTAACACTTGCATAAAAATGCCTAATAGTTTAATAGTAATGAGTTTCTTAAAAGTGATAGACATGCATTTTATATAATAATATAAATTAAAATATATTATGTGTGGGTACGGGGCGAGTGTGGATACTAAAGTACGCATGTCCCCTTATTTTAATAGATAATCATCCGTGCTCATGCCTGTATCTATTTTGCGAGTTTTTACCCTATCTGTTGTGGACATTTTTTGCGGGTATCCATTGGATATGGATCCAATTACCATCCACAACCTCAACTTTAATGAGCTAAATAAGATGGCTTGGAAATTAAATTGTATGTAACTTTAAATTAAGTAAATTTTTAGGGATTGCAGATTCATGTTTTAGTATTTTTAAGAGTCCCACATCGGATAGTATATGGCCTGAACATGTGTCTATAAATGGGAGCAATCCTCACCTTATAAGTCGGTTTTGTAGAGTCAAGTTAGGTTCAATCCACACATTCTAAGATGGTATTAGAGCCTCATCTAAGATCCATTGGGCACCCACCATTTAGTTTCACGCTCCAGCCCTAATTCCTGGGCGTGAGAGGGGGTGTTAAGAGTCTCACATCGGACAATATATGACCTGAACATGTGCTTATAAATGGGGACAATCCTCACCTTATAAGCCGGTTTTGTAGGATCGAGTTAGGCTCAATCCACACATTCTAAGAAGTATAAAACAGATTAATACCTCGCTGTTCCTGTCAATACTCCAAGCATGCATGGTCCCGCCTCCTGAACCTTGAACATTAGAAAATATAGTTTAGTTTTAACTTTTAATCCTCTATATATTAATAAGCAATGATAAGGGGAGTAAAATAAAAAGGATAGCATTTGGTGATCTAAAAGGCATAAGAACAATACCACAAATATAAATCACTAATGTGTTCATAAGCAAGATATTTATTACTCTAGGTCTAGGCTTACAAACAACTATTGAATTCATAAAATTTTAATGACAAGAATGATGATTGCTCAACAAAATTCTTTTTTAACAAACTTAACAAAACATTGAATATATACTAGTGACACAGGAAATATGATAAGATGTGGGACATAGATCCTGCTGTTGGGTCTGATGGGAATATTTTAGTGGGCTTCAACAAGAAGTATGTGACATTGAAGAATTAATGAAGACTATTCTTTATAAAGTTGACATCTTTTTTGTCTTTAATTCTTAATGAAAGAATCAACTCGAGGACAATTCGTTAAAATCTATGCAATCATCACTGAGTCATATCAGGTATTGATAGGCACACCATTGCTGGACTTATTGGGCCAATGGTTAGGTTGTACCAAAGAAAGAAAAAAGACAGAAATGGAAAAGGCATGATGGAATATTTTAGGTGGAAAATTTTGTAAGGGCGGAAACTAATAAAACAACAGAAAGGTTGGAGCCAATCAGTGATGGTAGGGTGTGCGGAAAGCATGGGAAGTTGAGGGAATACGAGGGAGGGAATGGAACTAAAAGAGGTGTCAGTTTCGTACAGAAGTTTTGGCAGGCCTGGGGAAAAAGTACTATTCTTCTCCGAGTTTATATCTATTTTTCTGATTTATTGGCTATACTATACATATTGTTTCTGCGACTGTAGTTATAGAAATGTTAAGTACGTCTCCATTTAGTTCTAATGTAATTACCAAGAAGTATCAGACACCAAAGAGGACAAAGGAATAGTCCTGCAAAATAAGAGGACCAAGGAATAGTAAAGCTAAATAATGAAAATGATAGCAATAATAATGACATTAATCTTGATGAATGAAGAATATGAAGGTAATCAGTTTTGAACTATGTTGTTTATAAGTTGTGTGTTTTTTAACTTAATAGCTCATGAGTTTAGACTCTCTATGACATGAACTATAATTTGATCTTATGAGATATATGGTTAAGTTGTTAGGTCAACACTTTATTTTAAATTATGGAATTAAGCATTTTGTTTAGGGTATACAACCCTTTATAAACTTTATGAGTCTCAACTCTCAAGTTGAGGGGTTTTTTTGTTAGATGCAACTAAATGACGTTAATAAAGCTAACTTGTAGAATATATACCTGCAACTACATACTTCCCGTCTGGGGTAAATGTCGCCTCTGTTGAGGTGCCATGAGATGGTTCCAAACTAAACCCACAGCGCTGCACAAGAAGTTCTACCGTAAACATATTTTTGAACAAATTGCATAAATAAACTGTAGACTTAAATTAACATTATACACATATTACATAGACCAGTTTCAATATAAACAAATTTAGCAGACAAAAATATGTGTAGGGACCGAAAACATATTTAAACCTTAACTGTAACATAGATGCTTTGATTTGATTATGAAAGAAATTAACCTTATCTCCTCCATATGCATCAAGAACATATATATTGTTATTAGTTGTGGACAGAAGCATTGATTTTCCATCATTGCTGAATTTAATATCACAGACCTCAGCTTTATCACCACCAACAAGAAAGGTGTCGAAGGGACCCTAAACCAGCATGGGTAATGTCAAAGTTGTGAAATTATGAAAAGCATAACAAAAATTACAGATAAGAACCTTGTCATACGAACGTGAATCGAACAACTTTATAGCTCCCCCTTCCATTGCTACGGCAAAAACCAGGCCTTGTTGGTCGTAGGCAACAGTAGGTCTACCACGTACATGTAAGATTCCCTGAAAACTATAACAGTGAGCATAAATCATAATTTTGTATCTCTACTTTTTCCCTGATGCACTGTACGAGTTTATATCTTTGGAAGCTCAACTGAAACTGAATTCAGTAATATCACTTGAGTTCCGAATAGCAGCATACTACAAGTAGTAGCTTGTTTATTATCTAGTATATAGTATCTTAGTTGTTATAATATATTGTATTGTACCATCTAGTCTCTTCAATATTATAACTAAGAATGATATTCTTTTAACTGGTCCTAGAAAGATACAAAACTACATTAAACAGCCACTCAAATAAAATGTTGAACAAAAAAATAGACCAACCTGGCAGGCATTTACCCGTAGATCCCATAACCTTACACTGTGGTCTACAGAACCAGACATGAAGCTATCGTTGATAGGAGACATGCAGAGAGAAACAACTCTGCGAAACAAATCATAAAACAGAAATCAGCAATGCAATCACGTATAGCAAGGAACCAACAAGCATAAAGTCAATCATTATTGTCCTAATCTCCCTTGAGAAAACTATCTATCTTGGATCTGAATTGGTTTCAAGAAAGGATGAGGTAAATGAAAACTTACTATGTAATATGGGGGGGATTAAATCCTGTTATCTCCTTCTATTTCCATTGGTTAATTTTTCTTATTTCCTTTTATTTGTGGAGTTTTAAATTTCCATATATATGGTTATCATGATATATTTTATTTCCCTTAACCCTTGGATAGCAATTAGTAGATTGTATCTATAAAGTGCAATTTGTGTTCGTTGGACTATTGAATCATTTCAAGAATAACTATCGAATTTTCCATCTTTTCGATTCAGTGTCAAACTATGCTGTCAATAGAAGGGTGGCCGCGGACGATCACGAGTTTTTGGTACAGAAGGTGTGGCATGCGTCCAGCAGGCATAGCGCCTACGGCCTCTAATGGCAGCTGAATAGTGCTCTAGCACCCATAACTGGGGCATGGGGTTTGAATGGCGCTATCTCTGTTCAACTTTTTTAATGGTTTTTGGTCCTTCTTGGAAGCTAGGTCATCCATTCCTTTAACAGCTATCTCAAATCATATATACAGGTATCTATAAACTGTAATTTGTGCTTGCTCTTTTATATCAAGAGATTATTTTCAATACCACCGACAAGGTAAAACTTTTTACATATGCATCCAACAAATCACACCATAGTGTCACTTTCTTAGGTTAGTTCCTAAAACATATTAGCAAATATCTACCTGGTTTGATTTGATTGGATATGTGAGTAAAAAGTTTTACATTGTTGGTGTATACAAATTAAATTCTTATAGCAATTGAGGAATAATGTTGAGATTTTCCATCTTTTCAAGTCTAAATTCAATAAAAGAGAAGGACAAAATCAAGTAAAAATCAGAGACTGAAAAAATCCACAGGTAAACTGATATTTGTGGGAGACTAAAAATGGCCCAAAATAAAACGGAAATCATACAAAGATAATAGAAACTAAGCAATCGACTTGTGCAAGGACAGAAGAAAGTACTGAAACCTCTGTTTATGGCCTTTGAAGTATCGTAGACAGCGGTTATCGTACATTGATAAATACCGCAAGGATTCTGGCACAGGAGGAAAAAAGAAGTGAATAACGGCAGACATATTGTAGGCTTAAATAAGAGTAAAAAATTATGAATTAGAGAAGCTGACCTCCAGTAGATTCCAAATTGTACCGTGAAGAGCATATGACAGAACTTGGATGATGAGTAAAGCATATTTGATCAGTACCATGTTTCTTATGATAAGTGGTCTTCAACAACCTAGAATTCACGGTAATAACATAAAATGCTTAGTTATATTAGAAATTATTCATATAGGAAACTGTAAATCATATAAAGTTGCAGCAGGCAACTAACTTAGCATTAGCAATGTCATAGAGGCGCACAGAATCATCCTCACTAGCAGTGACAAGTAAATCATCCTTACGATGGAAACCAATTGAATATATCTTCCCAACCTGCAAATACAAACATACATAATTAAAACATTTGCAATGAATTTCCACAAGAACATAGATATAGGGTTTCGCCCCTAAAATGGTTGAAGGAAGGAAGGAAGGAAGGGAAGAGTTACGAAGTCGGAGAAAACTGCTCCAATAGACATGTTGCGGACCATGTCGTCATTGAGCTCTGAAAGTGATGTCGTCATCCTCGACGAGCAGAGACGCACAAGCAGTGACTCAACTTCTCACACTCCTTTTACACATCGCGTACGCGTCCTACTTCCTATAGATTCCTCGGGATTCACTCGGGGCACATATTTTACAATTATTACATTTACTACATTGCAAATTAAAATTATGTGAAATCACCCGGAGTTAAACTTTAATTAATGTTTTTAATTAATTAATTAATTAAAAATAATTGAATTAAATGTTATTTTGTATTGAATTATTGATTGTATGCCAGAGAAAACAATGATTTGTTTCGCTCAAATTGTACATAATCCCGGATAAAGACAAAATAAACACAAACTTTAATAACGAAAAGGCTTGAATGAAAGTAATAAGCAAAAAGTCTAAGAAATGATATTAAACAAAGTGTTTCAATTAAGGAAACATAAAGCCAATGAAAGAAAATGATGTAACTCATACATGTTTCTCACAAAGTGTTTTGCTCTTTGACTCGGGTACTCTAGTTATGTAGAAAAGTATATGAATTTTTGCAACCTTGATTACAGTACATGAGTTTGTTATTCATACTAGTCTAAAGATGATTGTCTCGGACAATTTTATTGCTAGAAGAATGACATGTATCAAGAACATACAGTTTAATCTTCTAAAATGCTTCCACGTCCTCGAAACTTGTAACTGCCTTCCAAACCACTATCCCACGTTCGTAAGTGCTCCAAGTAAATAATTGATTTCAAGAATATTTGGTTCAATACTTGTCGAAAACACTCTCACTTAACTGATTGTTAGACTTAGAAAATAATTAAGTCCCAGGTGACCAGTGGCTTCGTCGAAAGCCAAAATGTTTTGTCAAACCCTTTTCGAGATTTTGGACATGTTTTAAAGCGAGTGTGATCCTAATCTTGTGGATATATTCTTGATATTATTTTAAGTCATGCTCAACACGCTAGTTGACACTACTTTCGTCGACGTGGTTGCTTTTGTCGAAGCTTGTCAATATATGTTTTCTAACAATTCGCACTTTCGAATTCTTGCTCTCTTTCCATTGCACCAAGGAGTTCGAGGAATGGTGGACTCTTTATTACTAAGGTGTGCAACATCCTTATCTGATGGCCCAGTGCTTGACAGACGCTTTCTCCTTTTTGCGAGACTTAGACAAGAAAGGCAAAGGTAAGTCTTGTTGACTGTCTATTAGGATGTGGAAAACTAAGGAATAACTTGCTTTAATTTCCGCTTGGGCTCTGTTGTACCCCAAAATTTACCCTCTCATTTTATCAAGATTTTCCTCACAAGACTTCTTGGACTCCAGACAAGATTAGGGTTTGCTCAGCTCAAGACCTCACCTTGCACTGATAGCCTGAAATTAGGGTTTGAGTTTGCACAAGAATTTTTGGACCATCATTGCTCCATGTGACTTTCATACACCATCTTGGACCCCTAAGATTGTTCATGACAAGTTTCAAGCCTTGAATCACATTTTTGCTCAGTCAATTGGACAGTTGACCTAAATATCAACTGTATTGGGGAAAAAGTCAATCATGGCCAATTTACAGTCAAACTTCATAATTTTTTATCCACAACAACATTATAGTCTCATATGTACCATTTGATCAAGTTTGGACCACAACTCCTCAAGAAATTTGATCAGATCATCAAAAGGGTAAAATGGTCAAAATTAGGGTTTTGATTGAGAAAGGGCAATTTCTGATTTTTGACATAGCCAATGGCCAATTGGGTTCAAGCATGATTTCAAGGACTCAATAGCATCATCTTGATCTAATCACATAGTTCAAAAGATCTCAAATGCATAGGATTGACAGATGAATTTTGTAGTCAACTGATCAAAAGTCAATTGTACACTGAAAAGTCAAACTTTGACTTTTTGGTCAAAATCAAGTGTCAAAGGTCATAATTCATCAAGATATGTCAAAATGTGAAACTTGTTGATCAAGAAACCTAAAATTACAAATTAGGGTTTTAATTTGAAATTTTTCATAACTTAGAATTTTTCTAAGTTATGGAAATTTCTTGTTTTTTCCCAACTTTCCACAACTTTTTCATCATGATGTAATTGGATTCAAAGAAAACTTCCAACATGAAAGTTGTAGTCCTCCATGAAATATACAACTTTTATTCTCAAAGTTTTCCCAAAAGATGCATGGATCTCAAGTTATGATTTTGTGAATAGGGGTCCGTAAACTTTTTAACTTAGTGAAATTTTGCCCTAATTTAGGCAGGATTTTGACCTAATTTCATGGGCATTTTTCACCTAGTTCCAAGAGGTATCTCAAAATGCATTTCAAATATGGATTGTAGAGCATGTTACAAGCTTTCCAAAATGTCTAAGAACTCTCCAAGATCATTTATGGTTAGGGAGAATCGAAGAAGGGAAAATGACAATTTATCACTTTTGTTCGAGGCATTTTCACAAGGGTTCAAGTTGAAAATATGTTCTAGCATGCTTGTACTTGGTATTACAGGTTCTAATCCTTTCTACACTCCATAATTGAATGCTAACACAATGGATAATGGTTTTATTTTGATCTTTGAAGCATTGTACAATGAATTAATCCAAAAATGGCATAAAGTTCACAATACTACTTTCATAAAGTATGCTTTTTGCAACATTGCAAATCTTGAGCCATGGACCTGATCTTTTGTTGCAAACAAGATCCACAAACATCAGGCAAAGTATACCAACTCCTTGCATCCCTAGAACTAGCAAGTACAACATTTTGGGCATTGTCACTTCAACTTTCTTCAAAAGCAAGCAAACTTGCAAAAGTCAATACAACTTATCCATCTGATAAAGGCAAGGCTTGGCTTCATTTGAGAACTTCAGAACCTTGTAACAAGCCAATACACGATTTCCTAACATCCCAAACACTCTCAAACACCAAAATCACATTTTTCTGCCCAAACAGGGCATCATCTGCAGAACACTTGCCAACTTGAAACTTGCTCGTGCGTTTTGCCTTTCAACCCTTGAAACATCTTCCCTACATCACATCCAAGCTATCCAAGCATTCATCTTGCAACTGTGAGCTCAATTTCACACTTCACCATTTTCATTTTGCAAGGTTGCAGGTTGACTCGTGCAAGGAGATTCAAGCATCTACAAGGCCAGTTAAGCATTGGAAAAGGTTGAGGGAACTTCAAGGAAGCTCACACGATCTTTAGGCCTCACTCAAAGTTCCCACATTGCCATATCCAAACTCAACTGAACAAGATATTTTTCAAAGTTCTATCTCCTTATTTAGGCATCCTTAAGCTTTGATTTGTGAAGCAAAAATGTAGTTCTTAACTTGCTTAAGCTGTACATATGCATAGTTTCTATTTATATTAATTGAGCTAAGAGTATTTGGTTGTTGAACATGCTGAAAAAACTAGGTCAGAAATTAGGGCCATTAAAATTCTCCCTGATCTTTGAAAGTTAGGTCATGAATTTTATATCATTGGAATCGTGAGTTCACAAGCTACACTTTTTATGTTATGAGTTTTTGATTTCATGCAAGCTAGAGCAAGATACAGGTTTGGCTCAGAAACGCGCGCAGGAGGGAGCTGAAGGACGTGGACGAAGCTGTCTTGGGCCTGGCGCCTTGGACTTGCTACTTTTCACACCCCCTTGTTTCCTATTTGCACCCCTTTGGCCTATTTTTTATATTTTGCATATTTTTCATTTCTTTTATATTTATTGCTTTTATTTATTTTTCTGAACATGAAAAAATCTTGAAAAATATTTTCTTTATTTTTTGCATTTTATTTTATTTTTTTTTATTATTTTTTTTTTTGCATAAAAATAGTTTATTAGTAATAATATACTTTATTTTCTTAAGTAAACTTGTAAATAATAATAAAAATACTTAAATATTTTATTTTATTATATTATACACATTAAATATTTATTTTTCATACATATTTAATTTTTAATATTTATGCATAATATTATTATTATTTTTCTTGAACAAAATGAATAAAATAAATATAGAATATATATTTTCTTTTAAAACAAAATTAGGGTTTCCCCTTTCAAAAATAATAATATTTTTTTTTCTTATTTTTAGGACTTAGATAATTTTATTTTCTCATACATAAAATAAATACAAAAACATTTTGCATCCATACATTTTATTGCATATTTAAATAATTATTTATTTTATTTATTGTACAATAAATTCAATTGGGTTGTAATAGTAAATTAGGGTTTTATTTTGTGCAAATATCCCCCATTCAAAACTTGTATCCCCCTTCTCATAATATTGTTGTAATAGCTTAGATTTACTTTACGTAATTTATCGCATTATATGCATGTTTAGTAAAATTAGGGTTTGTATGATAAGACAAAAATCAAACAAATAGCATGACCTAATACATGACAAAAAAGCATGTAAAATGACAACACATTGCACACAAGCACCTCTAGGGTTTCACCCACTTGGTTGCCTTAAAACATGGCCATGGTATGCATGCTAGGTATCTTGGCAAAACAAAACAAAACAAAAGATCATAGTCCCTCGATGACGCTAGACAAAGTTGCCTAAAAACAAATGATCTTAGTCCCTAAAACTTGCTAAGATACTTGGCACCATTGCTATCATGGTCATACGATGACCCATGCCTGTCCCGTTTAATATCCAAAGATAGGGTTATCTACCAAAACAATGGTAGGTTAACAATGTCAAAGGAATAAAAATGTATAGGAAAGACTTTTGAGTAGGTAGATAAGCTTCTAGTTACTTGATCATTTCAAAACAATCCTTGCTATTTTCAAAAACAAACACACACCTTTCAAAATAATTTCCAAACAACTTTCAAACATTGAAACATTTTTCAAAAGACAAACATCTTTGTATACATTCTTACGAACGAGAATCATTACAAAGATTGCCTAAACAAAAGGCCTCTTTTCAAAATACTTTCAAAACCACACAAAGCACCATTTCAAACAATTGCAAAAGCAAAGCAAGTGATCTAAACAAGTAACTAAGAGCCCATGGAAAACCATGGATGAAAAGGG